TTCGCCATGTAGGGTGGCCTTAGGGTGCACAAGGGCGGCCCTAGGGTCCACACGGGCGACCTAGGGTGCACAAGGGCGGCCCTAGGGTGCACAAGGGCGGCCCTAGGGTGCACAAGGGCGGCCCTAGGGTGCACACGGGCGGCCCTAGGGTCCGCAAGGGCGGCCCTAGGGTCCACAAGGGCGGCCTTAGGGTGCACAAGGGCGGCCCTAGGGTCCACACGGGCGACCCTAGGGTGCACAAGGGCGGCCCTAGGGTGCACAAGGGCGGCCCTAGGGTCCACAAGGGCCGCCCTAGGGTCCACAAGGGCCGCCCTAGGGTCCACAAGGGCGGCTCAAGGGTCGACAAGGGCGGCCCTAGGGTCGACAAGGCCGGCTCTAGGGTCGACAAGGCCGGCCCTAGGGTCCACAAGGGCCGCCCTAGGGTCCACAAGGGCCGCCCTAGGGTCCACAAGGGCCGCCCTAGGGTCCACAAGGGCCGCCCTAGGGTCCACAAGTCCACAAAGGGAGGACTTTAGGGGGTCCTTTGAGTCACTCACAAGCTAGGCTTTGCCCAGGGTGTTGGGCGAGGAAAAAACGTTCTTTTTAAAAAAAAAACAGCGCCATCTGTTGGACGTAAGAGCAACACATGCTGAAACCTTCAAAAGTTCTTGACCAATTGCTTTGAAATTTTCACACAACGTTCTATTCAATTGTGCGCATGTTTTTATATGCCTACTATATAGATGCCACACCTGTGACAGGTAAAAACATACTTTTTTTAATAACAGAGCCACCTGTTGCACGTAATAGCAACACACGCTGTACTAAATATGTTACAATTCCATTTCAATGTTTCCTTTTGCATTGATAACTTGAATTTTCATAGAAATTCAATTTATTTTCATTTTGATTTAATTATTTTGTGTGACATCGCATTGGAATTGAGCTGTGTTGTTTACCATACTATTCATTTCGTGAGTATAGTTAATTTTTTAATTTTTTAATTGTTTTTCATATCGTTTTTTTACCTGTTATACTTATTTTTCAGTGACGGGAACATCAGATCATTTGACGTTATCATTTTTCTGACGGGAACATTAGATCATTTGGGAACGCATCAGATGAGGGAGTGGGGAATGATGGGGAGGATAAGGGCACGGAAGAGTGTGGGATGTTGGAGATGAGGGGACGGGGGAGTGGGGAGGACGAGAGGACGGGGAACACGGGTAATGGTGCAGAGGACGAGGGGATGGGGAAGTGTAGCATGGTGAGGAGGACGAGGGGATGGGGAAGTGTAGCATGGTGAGGAGGACGAGGGGACGGGGGAGGGGGGGAATGGTGGGGAGGACAAAGGGTCAGGGTAGGGTTGCTCAGCCACAGCAACCTTCCCCTGTCCGCTCGTCCTCCCCACCATCACCCCCTCCCCTGTCCCCGTGTCCTTTCTACCATTCCCAACTTCCCCGTCCCCCTTGTCTTCCCCACCATTCTCCATTTCCCCCCGTCTCATCATCCCCAACTCCCCCTGTCCCAACGTCCTCCCCACCAATACCCTACCCCCTCCCCTGGTCCCCCGTCCTCCCTACTATTCCCCACTCCCTCGTCACCTCGTCCCCACCATCCCCCACTCCTATCCCCTTGTCCTCCACACAATTCCCCACTCCCTCGTCCGATGCATTCCCAAATGATCTGATGTTCCCATCAGAAAATTGGGAACATCAAATGATCTGATGTTCCCATCAGAAAATTGGGAACATCAAATGATCTGATTTTCCCATCACTGAAATACAAGAAAAACAGTTAAAAATGAAATAAAAAACAGCGAAAAAATTACAAAATAAACTATGCTCACAAAATGAACTGTATGGTAAACAACACAGCTTAATTCCAAGGCAATGTCACACAAAATACTAAAATCAAAATGAAAATAAATTGAAATCTGCCTCGTAATTGGAGCTGCCTCGTATGGGCCAATAGGCCTTCTGCAGTTACCTCTATTTTTATGTTCTTATGTTTCACCCCCCATTTATCCCTTATGTATCCCCCCCCCATGTTATCACCTTTATTGTCTTATCACCTGACCCAGTGCGGGTATAAAATCAACCAGTCCTGAAAAATCTCTTCACTTGAGAATGAACCATGGAGGTTCGAAACGTTGTGCAAATTGTATAAATAAGTGTAATACATTCTATAGTAATTCACTTCTTTTCTTCACCTGGAAATTACGAAAATGAGTTTTGGAGAACTCCTATTTCAGCTGAGCCCTGATGCTAAGAAAATAGTTAGAGGGATAGAAGCCCTAAATCAGAAAATAGTAAATACAGAATATGCGGTCATATTCAATGATATATATATATATATATATATATATATATATATATATATATATATATATATATATATATATATATATATATATATTCGATTAGTCTTTCGCCCCTATACCCAGCTCCGACGATCGATTTGCACGTCAGAATCGCTACGGACCTCCACCAGAGTTTCCTCTGGCTTCATCCTGGATGGTGAACTATGGCCAGGTATAGTTCACCATCTTTCGGGTCCCAACATTAAGTTAAGATTAATAAAAAGCAGACGGAGAACCCTCTACAGCAATCAAGCGTTGTATACGCTTATATATATATATATATATATATATATATATATATATATATATATATATATATATATATATATATATATATATATATAGATAGATAGATAATGTGCGGAAAAACCACATTTCAAGATTTCAAGTACTGACCCTTCTTAGGATCCAACTACTCACCAGTTACCTAACTGCCGGGTATCAATTCACTACTATATGAACAGCGGCATTAGATGAAAGGAAACATGCCCAATCATTTGTGTCACGGTCGGGATTCCCGACCGTGAGTCGAGAACGACCCGCCACTGTGCTATGGAGAGCCAAGAATGTCAACATTACCTTAACATTCACTGTGCCGGAGAGCTTGTCCATCTCGCCCAGTATAGCGGAGCAGAGGGAGGACTTGCCGGCGCCGACGGTGCCGACGACGGCCACCAGGGCGCCCTCGGGTGCGGTGAAGTCGATGTCTCTCAGCGCCGGGCTCTCCTCCTCACCGCCGCCCCACGCGAACGTCCCATTCTTGATCACAACAGGACTCTCTGTACCAACACAAAGTGGAAATATGTATATGCTCCTACTTGTCGAATGTTGAAATATGCTACATATTGGTATGTGTGTGTATATCACGAAAATAAACACGTGATTAAAAATGTGACAGTGTCAGACCATGGAGGAAAATTGAAACAGGAATTTCCTTAAGTACTTTCATATATTAATACATCTTCAGAAGGAGTGAAGCAAATTCCTGTTTCAATTTTACTCCGTGGTCTGACACTTTCATATTGGTATGTATAGAGAATATGAAGAATTATACACTGTATCAGGTGCTGAACACAGCATATAGTGCTGTAACTCAATATGTCTCAAAACAGATATATTTGTTATATTAATTATGTATGACACAATGGCATTATGTATGACATTACCCATGGTTGAATTTTCAGGTCTCTAGCAGGCACTGTGGATGGACGTAGCTCCAGATCTGTGTCAACTCGATACCTTAAAACCCTGACTATCACTAGTCTCTCCACCACCACTCTCAACCTGTGTCACTCCTGGCATATCAGAGGCACAAGGGGAACCAGTGTTCGGGGATTCGTTTCCTCGCTCACGTCTTCCGCGTTTGACGTCTCGTTGATCACCCCTGACCTACTTAACCAGTCAGCACCAACGTTTTCGGCTCCGTTTATGTACACCACACGGAATGTAAACTGTTGAAGGAACAACACCCAGTGCATTATTCTAGGGTTTGTATTTTTTAGTGTCAATGTGGCTGAGCGGTTGGTGATCTACTTGAAACGTAAAGCATTTTCCGTAGAGATACTGGTAGAATTTCCTTACTCCCGCGGCAGCAGCAAGGAGTTCTTTTTCTACAGTGGAATACTTCTGCTCAGCATCGCTCAATTTATGACTGGAGTACTCAACTGGCCAGATTTCACCGTCGTACTCCTGCATGAGCACAGCACCAATTCCTGTATTTGAGGCATCTGTGCGGAGGATGTACTCCCTGATAGAATCTGGTAGTCTAATGATGGGTGCTTCAGTTTGCTTCCTCTTGAGCGTCGAAAATGCTGAGTTTTCCATCTTTGTCCATAGTACTCTAACAGGTGTATTCTTTTAGGTTAGGTTAGATAGCGGAGTTGCTATGGACGTGAATTTGGGGATGAAAGTTCTATAGTACCCTGCAAGTCCCAGGAATGACTTACCCGAGTCTTGGTGGCGGGCGGAGCGGATTCTTCAATCTTGATGATCTTCTCAGGCAGCGGCATGGTAAACCCTTCCCCTATCACAGGACCCAGGTACCTGACATCCTTACAACCCAACTCACATTTACTGGGTTTTTCAACTATTTGTACTTCTTGTAGTCTTGCGAACACCTGCCTTAGCAAGCTTAGATGTTCTTCCCACGTAGCAGAGTGGAGGAGCACCTCGTCCACGAACACTTCTACTCCAATAATTCCCTCCAAGACCTTGCGCATAGTTCTGTGGAACACGGTAGGGGCGTTCACCAGTCCAAACAGGAGGACTGTGAACTGAAAGAAATCTTTGCTTGTCATGAAGGCAGTGCAGCACTTACTGTCTTCATCTAGTGGAATTTGCCAGAATCCTTTTGTCAGGTCAAGCTTGGAGAAATAGCAAGTGGAAGAAAACCTCGAGAAGATCTCATTTGGATTGAACATTGGTTCAGTATCAAACTCTATGATGGAGTTCAACTTCCGGAAGTCGTGGCAGATGCGCACACTTCCCCCAGGCTCTTTGACTCACACCATCGGACTTTAGTTCCGTGAGGTCGACTTCTCTATTACTGCCACGTTAATCATAGATCCCAGTTCTTCCCTCACCTGTGGTACAAGGTGATGAGGAACAGGATATTGTTTTGTGTGTACCGCTTGCTGCTCTATCAAAGGTATGTGCTAACCTGTGCTACTTTAGTGATGTCAGAGAGTACCTCCTTGTACTCTGCTACCTTAACCTTCTAGCTGCTACTAGTCAAGTAACCTGATCGACTTGATTATCAGACAGCTAATTATCAACATTAACATCTCGGTGTATCTCCAGCTGTTGTTGATTGAAGAGACACGATTGACCTACCTCCTCATCGTCGGTTATCACTGAGACACCGGCGATCGTTGCTGAGTGCAGCGGGTGGTCGATCAGTCCTGTCGATGTAGAGCCCAGTGGTCCTCTCCTGTTCTTACGTCCAGCATGCTTCCTCGGCTTTGTGGATCCATCTACAGGCGCGTCCTCGTAACGCTTCAGCATGTTGACGTGGTACTTCTCCTTGGCACCATCGACGTCGAGCACATAGTTTAACGAGTGCGAGCACTCCACTACCGTAAATGGGCCCTTCCACTGCAGCAAAAGCTTGTTCCTGCTGGTGGGAAGCAACAAAAGTATCTTGGCACTTACACTTTTGCCTTTTAATCATACGTTTGTTCTGTTACTCCTTTGCTTTGGCTGTCTGTTCCCAGGCCAGCTGATAGGTGTTTTCCAGTCATTCCCATAGATTGATGACGTACTCGAACGTCATCTTGGTTTCAGGGTGCAGTTATCACCTTCTCACAGGTTTCTTAGTACTTGTAGAAGGCCTTTAACTGTGCGGCCGTATAGAAGCTCAAAGGGTGAGAACCCTGTGCTAGCCACAACAGCGTTCAAAAGCCTGGTTGACCAGTCCAGCAACGAGGAGGCCTGGGCGATGATCGGGCCGCGAGGACGCTAAGCTCCGAAACCAGCACACGATAAGGAAGCTGTTTCACCTCCCTGTAAGCAAACAACAAAGGGGTTCATGTACCTGGGCCACTCCCTAGGCTGTTCAATGCACATTCTCTTCAGCATCTTCTTGAGAGTGCTGTTGAAGCGTTTCACCAAACCATTTCCCACCGCATGGTACGTCGTGATGACGGATGCTCTCACTGTGAGCAAACGTCTGTCTTGGTGTTACGAACCCGGATCCAGCGTCCTAGCCTGGAGCAGTGACAAACACGCCATCTGTGGGTCAGCTCCCGAAACCCCCGCCAAACGAACGACGACACCTAGTGAGGACAGCGTGTACTGGCCTCGAGGACCAGTTTCCAGTCTGGTTCAGCGCTCAACACCGCCGCTCCTGACCTCTGGGGAGGTGGTGCTCCGAAGACAGCGCCATCTATGGAGTGGATATGTCGGGCGTTTGTATCTGAGCCTGTGAGTGTGGTGTATTAGTGTCCCGGTTATTAATGACGTGTCTGCTTACAGAGCCGACCTGGGACCACTGTGTTGAAGGTGTAGTCAGTCTACCCGAGGCAGCCAGTCTCCATACAGTGAAGTTTGCTGCAGCTTTTGTGACGTCGTCCCCCCCGGAAGAACACTGTGGTGTGTTAGCCTGCCATTGGAGTGGCAGTTAAAGGATTTACCCGGGACCGACGGTTTGCAGACGATAATCCACTGTGGTATTGAGGACAGGAGGGTGATTGGTGATATCACACGAGACTCCTGTCTAGGGCGTACCCCTTATATCGTTCGTGGAGTGGCCGTACCAGCCTTGGTGGCTCAGTACCTGCCAGCAGACCTGCTGGACGTGTGGTTGACGGCCTCCACGACGGTGCCCCCAGTGGACCTGTGTTGTGGCTGACCTGTGGCCAGGGTAGACTCGGCGCTCTCAGAGGACACGTCTTGAGGCCACGAAGAAAGCACCGCGGACTCAGCACCTAGCTTCGAGGATCCATAGTCTCCAGCAGAAGACTACAGTGTTGATCCCCTTTGTAAAGTGTTAATACCCTTCCCCCTTGTGTACGTTTTATTTCTATATATTTAAATGGTGATGGTGAAAATTATATTATATTAAGTTCTTACCTTTCTTCCCTACTCCCTTTAAGTTACTTGCGTCACGGATCGCATCCCTTGATAGCCTCTACTGGCTTGGGGCCGGATATATATCTTCCTCTAACTACATCAGAGTAAGAACCCCGTTGCGTCCCGAGAGGGCTGTAACACTTGGTCCATCATCTCACTGGTAAACTGCGTTCTTTGGTCGCTGTGGATCCACTCAGGTATACAAGGGGACTGAAAACCCTACCAGTGCTTCTGCTACTGTTGTCGCCTCGATGTTCTTCAGGGCAGCTGCTTCTGGGTACCATGTGGCGTGATCGACAATGGTCAGGATGTACTTACTGCCGTCCATTGCACTCGGTATGATCGGACCGACAAGATCAACGCTGACCAGCTTGAACAGCTGATCAATGATGGGAAAGGGCTGAAGTTTCCCGGGCTTCACTCGTCCTCGATCAGTGGTGCGCTGACAGGTGTCACGCAAGCGAGAGTAACGCTGTATTTCCCCAGTCATCCCTGACCAGCAGAACACAGCTTGTATCTGCACACTGGTCTTCGCATAAACCATATGGGCTTCCATCAAAGCTTCGTGCCCCAGGCGGAACACAGCCAGTCTATGCTCCTGTGGAACAATGAGTTGGTCCCAAGTGTCATGGGGCGTCTCAACTCTGGGCACAAGTTTAACATTATGGTGCAAGTACGTTATATTTCTCGTGTTGGAAACTGTTTTCTCCTCAGCATACCCACATATCTGGGCTAGTATTGGCTCGCTCCCTTCGGCCTCAATAAACTCCTTTGCAGATAATGTCAAATGCTCCTTTGAATGTCTCGCAATTTCAAGTTTTTTTTTTTTGCTTTTTGCTCTCTGACCTCATGGTAACAGCTGCCACGAGCGAGTTACATGTTAATGGAGTTGCTGCCACTTCAGCCCTAAGTCTTGCTGTTCCCTCCATTACTTCCCAGCTTGCCTTCTTTCCCTTTTTCTTCCCTTTGGTTTTCGGCTGGCGTGGGTGTGGTCACTTCCTGTGACATCACCCATGGCACCAGCGGACTGAAGGCGGCTTCTCCTAGCTCAGGCAGCCTCCTCTCACTCCCGTTTTCTTTGAGGGTGGACGAATATGTATATGATGATGACGATGATGATGATGTATAGTGCATAGACCCACACAAACACCTCTACTATCGTCTTAGCATAGACATTTGGGAATTGGTTGTAGATGTGTCTACCTGTTTC